CCCCCCCCCGATCTATCGACAAATACAAGCACAAATTTGAAAAAGTGGATATTTTTATAACCGCTTGGGAAATCTTAATGAATAATTAGTACGTATAATTGCATTCCACCAAACGGTTCTAGAGACATGGCTGTTTAAAGTAAGGCACGCTTTTAGAGCATCCTATTCTAGGACACATTTAATAGTGTCTTGGGCAATGGCACATCCTCATGCCCACCCACCTTGGAGCCTGGTCACCCAACAGTGCTTGACACCGTTTATGAGCCTGTACGTTCACTACTCACTTGACCGCTGGAGTTCGAACTCCAACTGGACACAAAAGCGATCGTGATCAAGGAAGAGCACTCGACCAGTGGATAGAGAAAGGAGGAAAGGAGAAGGAATACGGAACGGAAGAAGACGGAAGAAAGGCATGAAAGTACATGTGTGTATGGTGTCTGTGTTATGTGTATCTTTTATTTTTATTTTTCTTTTTCTTTTGGTAAATGTTTTACGGTGCTCCCAGCTGCATAGTGTCATATGAGCGCGCGGGACACATTCAAATAATTTTCAGTAGGTAGGAAATTTGAATTTTGCCCGGGTGGCGGCAGAAGCCTACTCTTATTGATTTTGGACCATCAAGGGATCTTAACATGCGCAACTTGCACACAGGATTTCGAGTTTTTTTCGCCCTTGTCCAACCATAAAATCAGGGGTGTGGCTGACGGACAGAAGAAAGAAGGAGCCAAGGAATAGCAGTAGAAAGGCAGCAAAGCGAGTTAGGAGCCCAGAGGAGGGGACAAAGGGGGCAGGGGAGGGGGCAGACAACAGAATATGGTTAGAGAGCAGGACAGGAGGTTAAAGAAGAAAACTTTTCGTCGCTGTCCGGATTCGAACCCGGGACCTCTTGAATGAGAGGCAAACACCATAACCCCTCGACCACGAGAACCACCTTATGTGTATCTGAGCATTGACTATCATCATCATCATCATCATCATCATCATCATCATCATCATCATCATCATCAGCATCAGCATCATCATTATCATCATCATCATCATCATCAGCATCATCATTATCATCATCATCATCATCATCATCCTTGTTACAAAGAGTGTGCAAAAGGTAAGACCTAGCATGTTATATTTCTACAATTTATTGTCTT